AAATATAAAACCAAGAAAAACTCTGCACACATAAAATAGGGGAAAGGAATAAAAATGTTCATAGGAAGGCTCTTCAAGAGAGCAGAAACCATGATAGAAACAACCCAGATGTCCAGTGACAGGAGAATAAAGAACTGTGGTATAGTCACATAGTGGAATACTACACAGCCCTCAAAATGCATGAACTGCAGCAATATGAATCTTAGTAATATTAAGTAAAAATAATAAGCAGCCAAAAACTACATACAGCAGTATTCCTCTATAATAAGGTTAAAAAAAACTAAAAAAAAAATTGGAAATACATAAAGCTAAGATAAATTTATAAAAAGGAAAAGAGAATGGTGGATACCTCAGGAGGAGGATGCATTTCAGTTATTGCCAAGGTCCTAGCTTTCATGTGATAAGTTCTATGACAGTACTATAATTAAATAAATGTGTCCTGTGCACAGGGCAATGAAAAGAGTGTGCCATGAAACAAGGGTATAATTAATCTAATTCTGTGCACCTGACATCCATTAACGGCAAGGGAGAGAAATTATGCCTACTTTCTCCAGGTAGCCTTATTTGTTTGGGGGAGAGGGGGAAAAGTTTCTTCCTTCCCAACCCTCTCTGGGACTTTTCTCTAGGTTCTCCTCCTGGAGAGGTGAGCTGGTGGCAGGTGGGGCAGCAGGGAGAGGAGTAATCCAGGGTTTAGCTACTTCAGGAAAAGTGTCCTGGAATTGGTGGAGTAGGAACCTGGAGGTGGGTCAGCTTCCATTACCATTCAGCTCCCCCCATTCCCTAGGCTAAGAACTACAGGGTGTGTAGTCTGTCGTTCATTTCCTGCTCTTCATTGAAGACCTCCGGATGGAGTGGAAAGAAGCCTAAGAGGTGCGTCCTGAGAGAATGGTACTGTGACCACATGGTAGAGTGTTGTAAGCATTCCGGGTACTGGAGAGCTGGGTCCAGTGGAGGTCAAAACCACCATCTTCAAACTTCAGTTTGGGGACTTCCCTGGTGACGCAATGGTTAAGAATCTGCCTGCAAATGCAGGGGACACGGGTTCGAGCCCTGGTTCGGGAAGATCCCACATGCCGCGGAGCAACTAAGCCCGTGTGCTACAACTACTGAGCCTGCACTTTAGAGCCCACGAGCCACAACTACTGAAGCAGGTGCGCCAAGAGCCCATGCTCCGCAACAAGAGAAGCCACCGCAATGAGAAGCCCGCGCACCACAACCGAGAGTAGCCCCCGCTCGCCACAACTAGAGAAAGCCCGCACACAGCAACGAAGACCCAACGCAGCCAAAAATAAATTAATTTAAAAAAAATTCCGTTTGGAACTACGGGGCAGCTGACTCACAACTTTTTACACATTCCCTCTTTTCAGCCTGGCCCAGGACACGCCTGGGCCATCCTGAGCACCCTCTGCCCCTCATCTCCCAGTCTTCCCTGCCCTTTCCTTCTTCATCCTAACTGTAGCTCCTAATCCTGTACTCTCACCTCTACTTCTACCAATCCCCCAAATGAGACCCTACTTTGTGAAAAAAGGGATTGGGGGGAAGCTCTGGGAGGGCAGCTTCAAACTTTCCACCTTAGGGGAAGGGGCTTAAGGTCAGACTGAACTGGGCTGGGCTTGCTGTGCTGGCCTCTTACCTTTAGGAAAGGGGTTAGAGGTTAGGCTGGACTGGGCTACTGGTATAAAAGGGGCTGGAGATTGTGCTGGACTAGACTAGCAGTCCTAAGAAAGGGGCTAGAAACCAGGCTGGATTGGACTGGGTTAGGAAACATGGGGAAGGAGCTGGGTTCAGGATGAGCTGGGGGCCTGGGGGTCAAGGCCTGGACCTCTGCAGTGGGGCCTGGCTGGCATACACAGTTGGGCTGAAACAAGTTTTTCAGCATCATGCTGGGCCTGGGACTGGGCCCTCCCCTGCACCCAGAAACAGAGGACATGAGGGCTTTGAAGGGTTTACTTCCCCCACCCCAGCAATTCCTCCTGAACAAGGGCCTTCCCCAGAGGGGCCACTGGGGCAAACAGGGAGGAGCCAGATCTGGGGCTTCAGAGGAAGTCACTGGCCACCAGGTTTCCTGAGTTCAAAAAGTGGGTTCCCCTGTCTCTCTGGCCCATTCATTTCCCCCAGGGCAGAGTCCAGGCCTAGCAGGGCAGAGTCCAGGCTTAGCAATCTACCTCTCCCCTGGACCCCCACCTCCCTTTCAGAAACATACACACACACACAATGTGAACCTGCAAATGCTGAAACCCAGTCACATGCCCGCCCTGGCAGCCCCATAACCCAAAACAATCGTACTGCCAAGCCATGCATTCAACAACACATCCCCATTTATGTACCTTTCGCTGCCAACTCACACCCAGTGGTCATGCCTCCTCTGCCTTGTTCAGCACCGCATCCCTAGCACATGGAATTGGGGCTGGCACCTGGAGAGGGCTCAATGAATATTAGCTGAATGAATGAATCCACCAAGACATACATCATAAACAAATGCATATACAAGCCCACATGCCTATTAATACATGTATACGTCCCTTATATACACATATCCAAGCCCTCTCTGAGGTCAGAAGTTACTACATACACAAGCTCACACCCGGGCAAAAAGGTCAGTTGTACACCTAGCGCCAGACACAAACACACTGCAGATAGGTGTTACCTAGGACTTCCAGGGCGAATTAGTGGTCACAGCTGGCTGGTAAATGTCCTTCAGTCAGATCAGGCCTGCAGAGGGGTGGGATATGTGTGTGTGTACAAATGCAGGCCTTGGAGTTCTGAGGTCCTGGAGCAACGAGGAGCTGGGCTGGCAGCAGGGCAGGGCCGAGGTAACTGCATGGACTGGAAAGGGTGTGGGGTGGGCCATGCAGTCCTTTCCTCTGGTTTCTTCCTGCCAGCTTGGGAGGTGGGGGCAGAGGTGCAGGTCTATGAGGCCTTACTTGAGATCCAGAGACCTTAGAGAGGGAACAGTCTGAGGCCTCAGATTCCCCTGTCTGGGATGAAAATGAGGGAGACTTGGAATTCCCTGACGCTTTTACTGCCGTGGCCCGGGTTCAATCCCTGGTCAGGGAACTAAGATCCTGAAAGATGCGCGGCACAACCAAAAATAAAGAAAAAGAAAAAAAAAAAGAAAATGAGGGAGACCGGGTAGGGGTTTTTGCAGGTGCTAATACCCCTCCCCAACCCACTGCAGTATCTCCCTATCTTGCCAATCTTCTATAATAGTGGGGAAGGAGGGGAATCAGGGAGAATACCTGGAAAGGAGTCTGAAAAGTGCCCTATTCGTTCTACCATCTCTCTGTGGAGCTTCAGGCTGTCCCCTAGCAATAGTGCTTAAGCATCCTCCTCTCTCTGTGCCTCAGCCCAAAGTCAGCAAGGCGACAACCCCACTACTCTCCCACTTCCCCACCCAGGGACCTAACACCAGAGGAGACTAGTTCAGATCTCAGCTGGGCTGGTAAGCTAGAGGCCAGGTAGGCGTAGGAATCTGACAAAAACAGGACTGAGTCTCCCAAGAATTTAACCACCCAAAGCTCCTCCAATCCAAGTCCCCTCCTAGGCAAGGACCCCTTCTTCCACCCCTCCCCCAACAGCTTAATCCAGGTCTATCTATCCCAGGAACCCAGCCTGCAGAGGGCCACCACCTGTCTGGCAGCCCCATGACAGTTAGGGGTGAGGAACAATAGTCCTGGGAGGGGCTGGGAAGTCAACTTTTGAGGAATACAGGGCAGCCTGGGACACATCAAGAACACCACCAGAAGAGTGAAGGGAAATGTGAGATGGGAGTGAGGGGGAATTCACAAGCCCAATCCATGCCTCTTCCCCAATGACTGGTGTTAGGGACTGCAGGAAGGAGGGGAAAAAGACTGCCTTGGACTGAGTCATTATAGGCATCAATGACCAACCAAGACACTCTCAAACCAAAAAGTCTCTTTATTGAGCGGTACCATACATGACTCAAATGGCCCAAAAGAAAAAAAGAAATACAAATCAAAAGAAGGCATTACAGCGGGCGGGGTGGGACATCCACCTTCCCTACCCCTTCCCTCAGCTCCTGACACAATATCCTTCCAAAAGTGGCAGCTGGAGTAGAGGAAACAGGATGTGGGGGACCCCAGAATCCAGAAGGAAGAGTGGGGAGAGAGGTGGTGCTAACACTTCTGGAACTGGCCACAGGAGAAGGCAGCGAAGCCACAGAGCTGCGTCCAGACTCATGGGACCCTGCTCTCGGCCTCACCCTGGGCCTGGAGCCTCCACATGTCCAATTGTGAAACAGAGCTGAGGATCCTGGCTGCCTCCCCTGTCCTTCTATGAAGAAGGGGAGAGAGGAGATACTGGGAGATGAAGGGCCTTTACTTCAGCTGGAGGACAAAAGCCTATTGCTCCCTGGTGGGCTCAGAGCTGGGACACCCTCAGTGGCTTCTCCCCCTCCTTGAAGGGCAGGGGAGGACTAGATATGCAGTCTGAGGAGTTGGGGAAAGAGAGTACTGGAGAGTGGATGAACCCCTTCTCCACCCATGCCTGCCCAACTGAGACAAAACAAAAAACACAGTGACAAACAAGGCTGCTCCCTTCCCTCCACACTCCCTAAGGCAGGGAGCCTCCCCCTCACCCCATCCAAGACAGCTGCTCTAGTGGAGGACTTGTAAAGAATATACACACCGTGGAGGGAGGGGGTTGGGGGCTGGGATAGAAGGAGCCACAAGCACTAGGAGGGCAGGCCAGAGTCCTAGAGGATGGGGAGACAGAGACAACAGCAGGGGGCTGTCACAAAAGTGAGGCCATCAATGGCGCCCTACCCCCATGGCATGCCTTCCCCAACTCCAGTCACCCCAGAGGAAAAGAGAAGAGAGATGGCAAAGTGTCTCCTTGGTCTGAAGCTCTCCAAACTGTGTAAAACAGTGATGCATACCCCACTACCTCCACATAGGCCCTAAGCTCTCCACCTGCCAGGCACAGGGAGGTAGCTGGACCTTTAATAAGGGGAAATAGGGGACATGAGTGATTTTTTTTTAAACTTACATCTTTAATAATATTATTTTTTAAAAAACTTGGAGCTGGGATAGGTGGCAGAAGGGAGGAGCCCAAAGCTTTACCCCTCTACTACCAGCCACCTAAGGGGAGGGTTTGGAGGAGGGGCATTCAATCAAGCCCCATAACTTTTAAGTCCCTAAGGGCTGTGGGCATAGACAACCCCAGGCTTGAAGAGGGTGGAGTCAGGAGGATGAGGGAACCCAGAACCTGGGGTGAGGATGGAGGCAAATGCCCTGGGAGGTGGTCAGGACATTTCTCAGAGGCCCAGGGTCCACATAGGCATCCACATGAGTACCCCCTTCCCCAAAAGGCTCTGCAGAGGCCAGCCCCAGCCCAGGGCCACTGGGGGGGCAAATCTTGGCACCTGCCCCCAGTGAGTCCAGTTCCTCCCTGAAGCGGGTGGATGAGGCTGCCCATTTTAGATGCTCAGTCTCTTCATTCTGTCTTCTGCTCCCTGGGGCTTCGAGGGGTGGGGCAGACAGGCAGAGCGCTGGGTGGCGGTGGCCATGGCAAAGCCTTTACTGGGAGGCCTGTGACGTGGGGTTCTCCGATTTGCTCTCTTGGCTGGACGGAGGCTTGCTGTTCCAGGGGCTGTTGGCGCCCAGGGCAGGGGAGTTGTTAAAGCTGTCCTCGTCGTCAATGCCGTTGGCCGCGTCAAACTGGGTGTTCTCCAGACGGGTGATGAGCCTCTCGTCCTCGTCCCCGAACTCCCCGCCCATCAGGGTGGGCTCCCCCACCACCATCACATCCTGAGAGTGGCGGAGGTCCCCAAACATAATCGGGGCAGGGGCTCGCCCAGCCCAGGGCAGCAGATACCCCCAGAGCCCCAACACCCACCCGGGAAACTCAACCCCACACCCCCCAACTTATACCCCAATTTAAAACCCCAACTCCTCTGATACCCTCCGCCCCTGGAATACTTCCCACTGAATGACTGCAAAGCATCACAGCCTTTAACCTATATCCACTGGATTCTGGGAGAAGTCAGTCTACTCCTCTAGCTCCCTAGTCCATCTCTCCAAAATTTTAGGGGGCTCCTGAACTTCTGTCCAATGTAAGAGAGAAGGAGCAGATCAAAAACACCGGTTGGGAAACGTATGTGCATGTATGTATTCTAGATTTGCACACATTCAAGTCTGTGTGTCCCTCTGTCAGAGTGTGTGTCTCTCTGGTGGTCTGTGTGCCCCTAAGCTGTCTGTCCTTTATGTCCATACGTTCCCATGGCTGTCTCCGTCCCTTGATGTCGTACGTTGCTACGTCTGAGTCTGTGTGATCACAATCATGCACATGACTGACAAGGACTGTCATCAGGGACAAGAGTCAGCCCACGATGGCAAAGGACACTGGGAAAAACTGTCTTTGTTTCTACGTCTGCTAGTGAGCTCAGGATGGGACAGGGTCAAGGGTCAGGGGCCAGCAGTGGGGCAGCCCAGAAGAGAGAAGAAAGCCGAGATGCTTACAGGTACCTGGCTGGAGAGGGCGAAGGTGCTGGCTGGGCTTTTCTTCTTGCTGTTGCTGTTGTTGGTGTTGCCACCCCCCGAGCTCATGGTGCTGCCCCCTGACATCTTCCTTTTCCGCCGCTTGCTGGGCTGCTGCCGTGCAGGCTCCGCTGTGCCAGGGAAAGGAGACTCAGGTGGGGTAGCACCCTGGGACCCTTATTCCCCATTCTGGCTCCTAAGGAGCCTGAGCCTACCCTGATCCCAATCTCGCAGACCCAGGAAAGAGGAAAGGGCTTTGTGAGGAGACAGCGATACAGCCTTGGGGAAGCAGCATCAGATACTGGTAAGAGCAGGTGCAGGTGCAAGGCACTCACCAGGGGGTGCTACCATGCGCTGCCACTTCTGGAAGAGGCAGGTCTTGAGACAGTCACGGGGGCTGAGGCTGTAGGTCTTGTGGCGGGACATGAGCTCCTGCATGGGCTCGAGTATCACACAGAGCTGGGGGGAGACCAGTTAGTGGCTTGTCAGGGGATAGACGTGGAGTGGAGACCAAATGGGATGGGGCAGAAATTGGGTGATCAGAGACTCACTCGGAGGTAGTTAAGAGTGGAATTGGACAGCCCACACCGGGTGATGTTTTTGGAGAGCTGATCCAACATCTGGGGGTCCTGGGCCTAGAGGAGGAGAAAGGTAAGAATACTAGTACCTGGGTTGCATCTGCTCACCTGCCCTATCATCTTAGCCTCGTGACACCCAAGAGAAGAGGGACTACTATATAAAAACCCATTTTTCAGATGGATAAACTTCAACCCTCTGTCTAGGGCCACTGGTGGGTAATGGCAGACCTCGTTCCACCCTTCCCGCTGCCTGCCCTCAGCCTTGTGGCTTAGGTTCTGTGCACAACTCACATGCATGGCAAGGATGCTGCGGGGGATGAGCTCTCGGTGCTGCCGGATGCTGAAGTGCCACGTCTTTATCCGCATCATGTCATCAAACATGAACTCCAGGTACAACCGGCCCTCCACACAAACCTGGAAACAAGCTTGTCACAAGTCTGCTCACCTCCCCACATACGCAAAAGTATACCGGTTCCCCTGTTTCCTCATGATTCTCCCACTACATACACTCCTGCCACCTGAACAGAAATCTGGGTGCATAACTGACATGGACCATCTCCTCATATACCTGCCACACTGGCACACACACACACACAGACACACACACACAGACACACACACACAGACACACGCACACACACAGACACACACACACACACACACACAGTAGAAACGCTTAACAGATTCTTGTCCTCTCCTCTTGTAGCTAGTAAAACACTCGTCAGCCATAAGCTCCATGAGAACAGGCTCTTGTTCACTGGTGTCTCCCTGCGGCCCAGAAAACTGTTATGTACAAACTCAATACACGTCTGCTGAATACTGCAGCATGCCTGCCATCCCTGTGCATCCTGCCACTTCCCATTATGTCTCCCTGGGGAAAAGCCAAGTACATTTTTGGGAGCCAGAAGGGGAATCAAACCCACGTACTTCAGTGCTCCACATCCAACTGGGTGCTAACCTGGGTGAACATAGGTTTGCCATGCTGGGTCACCATGCTGCCCTGGTCACAGTCAAGGGAAACAAAGTTGCTGTGGAATGCCTCCTTGGGGTGCTTAAGTACATAGTAGAGCTCCGTAGCACCCCCCTCAAAGATGCTGCGGAAGTAGCGTGGGATCAGGGTCCGGCCAATGGCTGCAGAGATGGGACAAACTCTTCAGAACAGAAGGATCTCAAAAGTGGTCAGGCAGATACCATCCCTGCCAAGACAGATCCCCTGGGACAAATACCCACGCCCAGATCTTAGAAGGACACAGGAGATGTATGCTCTTACAGCGGCACTGGCAGGACCCCCAGAGGTCACTCACTATATCTCTTTGGTCCATCCTCCAGGCAGAAAGTGATGGTTAACATGGCATCATCCTCAAAGAACTCAGTCGTGAAAGCATCCCACCAGAGATTGTCACACTCCTAAGAAGCACAGGGAAGGGTGTGTGTGTCAGAAGACATGCCACAGGGGTGCCCAGATGGCCCTCTCCCTCCAAGCTCCTTTCCCTTGGCTATACCTCTGTCCAGTTTTGAAGCCGTTTGTTAAGCTCAAATATCCTGTAGTCAGTTTGGTTGCCATATGGTGTGTGCCTCCTGGGGGAAGTGAAGAAGGGAGATCAGTAGGAGCAGAGCCTCCCCCCACCACCCCCGCCTTCACCCCTGTAATGGAAAGCACCAACCTCCCCACTGGGCTCCACTTACCCAATCCCAGGCTCCAGGTAGGTAGGCGGGTACATGGGAGTTGGGCTGTGTAAGGGAAGAGGCTATGAGAATGGGGGTGGAAGACAGGAATTATTGGGGGGTGTCACTCCCTCCCCTTTTCAGGCAGGATGCCATCTGGGGAAGGAACAGGAAGTGGACAAGAAACTCACCCCACATCCCGATCTAGCATGGTGCCGGGATGGAAGGGGGGGAAGGCGTTGCCGTTCGGGGGCTCCTTGGGTGAGTACAGCTTGAATGACTTTGAGGAACAACCTAGAAGGGAAAGAAAGAAGGGGTCTCCTGAGTCCCTCTTGGCAGTGCTCCTGGAAGTCTGCTAGACTGTATGCACAGGGACTGGTCTTCTGGAGCCCCCGAGGGCACTAGGGGAGGGAGACTACCCTACGGAGCACCTATCCCAGTTTTTATTAAGAAACTAGAAGTTCTCAGCCCTAATACCCAAGACCCCATTTCTTCATGTGGCTGAGCCCTGGATGACAGAATTGAACCTGGGAAGAAATGTCAGCACCACAAGATAAATAAATATCTAAATATCAGAATCTAAAATTTTGATAAACTCCCTTTTCATCTACATTGTTTTGTTTAATCATCATCACAACCTTGTGACGTAGCAGGGTCGAGTGTAACATTCCCATTTTATAAATGAAGCAACTAAAAGTTCAAAGGGACTTACCAAGATCGTACAGCTACTAACTGGCAGAGTTAGAACTCAAGTCCTAGGGCTCAAGCCTAGTCTTCCGATTCCCATATCCTATAGTATTTACCCCTCTTGCCCTCTGGAGACCAGGTTGGGGGAGGGTAAAGGGGGATTTTGCCAACTCCCTGCTCCTTCTCCACCCCCAGGGTCTCAGGAGGGCAGGGGATAGAAAGATAAAGGGGGGGGTAGTGCCTGCTGGGTGCCGCCCACCAGATAACCAGTTGGGCCTTCTGCCTCTCACACCAACGGCCACTCCCTTATCAGCCCAGCCCCCCCCCCACACACCCACCATGGGTCTAGTATTCTCTCCAAACCAGAAACCCAAAGCCTCAACCCCTTTTCTCTCCTTAGACTTGCAGTGAGGGAGGGAGGTAGATGGGCCTCCAATGGGTCCCACTCTAGTTACATATAGAAAATAAACAGCCCCAGGGAAGGAGCCTAGGTTTCAGGGGCTCAGTCTAGGAGGCAAGTGGTAACTAGACAGGGTCTCTGCTTGTGTGTATCTGTGCATGAGCTCATGTGTCCCCTCTCCACCTCACTCAGAAGCATACACAGTTCTACTCCTGCTCTACTATTACCTGACTGGAAGAAGTGCTACTTTCATAGCTAGGTAAGAGCCAGGTACCCTCACAATGCCACTTATCCCCTCCCCACCAGACAGGAGGAGATCGTGAAGCAGAGTCCTAGTCACAGCTGCTTCCTCATGTCCCCCAAACTTGACTGCATTTGGAAGGGTAGCTGTATCGGCTGTATCTGAGCCCTATCTCCAATTTAGATACAAAATCTATTTTGTTCCTTGGGAGGAAGAGACAAAGGAAGACCCTGTACCAACATGTATCATTTAATTCTCTCCCCTGGGTCCCCTCCTCACAATATGGGCCAAAGGAGGGTCCCAGAGAGGCCTACCCTCCACCGTCCCCAAAGACTCAGTGCCAAGACTCAGAGCCTGTGTGTACCTGCACACGTGTGTGCCTCATCCTGCCTAGCAGCCTTGCACCCTCAGCTCGCCCCAACATGTCTACCAAGGGCTGGAACCCAGCAGCCCCAGGCAGGATCAGGGTGCCTGCAACAGGCCCTTGCCCCACGCATGAGCTCTCATAGGCCACATCCAAATGCTCCCAGCACGACATACACAGCCTTCACATGCCAGTCAGGACTGAATGAGGAGCATGTGTCCTCAGGAAAGAGGCAGGCCCATCCAACCCCAAGTCCCCCCACTCCACAGACAGGTGGACAAGGCCATGTAGGAAGTCAAAGCTCACATTAGCAACCAGAAGCCAGGCCTGGGCAATGCACCCAGTAGTCTAGATTATTAGACCTGGCCCTCATCCCCTACCTAGGCCCTCCTTTCCCCAAAAGCATTACTGCCCCTGCCCCTCAGTTTCAGGACCACTTGAAATGTATCAGCTCAAGACCCTAAAGAGAAGGGAGGCAAAACACCAGGGTTCCTCTCTAACTAAGTTTCAGAGCTTCAATTTCTCACTTGAGAAATGACAGGCATTGCCTGGGGCTAGGTAACAGTACTGAGGAGCTAAAGCCCAAAGCTCTGGGGCCTCTATTTACACGACCAGTGAATGGACACAAATAAACTCAGTATCTCTCCAGAGCCATAGCAACTCCCAGTAGCCCCAGCACAAGGGCTGGGGAGTGAGAAGAGAAGGGGAGGGAACATCACCCAGACCATCTGTCCCTGCTGCTGCCTGTCCCCAGCAGCAGGGGTAGAGGGAGCAACGTGGGGGTGGGGGTGAGGGGATGGATGTGTCATCCAGTCTTGGAGTCAGGCAGAGTCCCGTCTCCCACCTCTAGCAACCTAGGAGCCCTTAGGAAGGGGGAGGAGAGAGGAAGAGCCCAGAACTAGTAAAGTTTTCTCAGAATGGAAGCTGCATCCTGTGGCCTAGGGGGGCACCTCCAGCTGGGTATTTCCATGGTAACCAGCCTGACCCGAGGGCAGGCCCCCTCCCTCTGGGGGCTGACCAGAGGTCAGCAGGCCCGAGAGCCCTCTCCTCTATGAGCTGGGTCACCTCTCTCACAGCCAGCATACCAGGCCCGGGCCAGATGGAGGACCTTCCACCCACCCCCAACAGGCTTGCAGGGTGCCCAGACTTACTTACCTGGGAGAACTGAGGGGGCCAGGAGAGGTGCGGGGAGCGGCTGCGAGCCCAGAGGGGCCCTGGCAGGGGTGAGGCCTGAGGGGGGGCCAACTTCAGCCGCTCATGTCCCGAGTGGGACAGGCAGGCCTGGCTGGGAGTTCCACTCCGCGGGCTGCACAAAGACTCGCACGCACGGCCTCGGCTCGCCCCACGGCGGCCACAGCCCCGGGAGAAAGTTACAATAGCCACTGGGCTGGGGACCCGGGGCCAGGGGGCCGGCCTGGGGGGCGGGGGGCCGCGGGGAGTCCGGAGCCTTCTTTGTTTGCAAGGTTTCCCTCAACAATGGCTGCTCCGCTCTTTCCTCCTCCTCCTCCTCCTCCTCCTCCGCTCTCCCCGCCGCCGCCTCTGCCTCTGCCTCCAAGCAGCCCGCCCGCCCTCCCCAGGCCAGCAGGCCCCTCCGCCGGGGCACCAGCAGAGGCAGGGCCCGGCACTCACACTCACTCACACTCGCTCACGCACAGACACACACAGCGCCCCGCCGGCTCCCTTCCTTTTCTCCCTTTCTCTCCCTCCCTCCCCGCTGGCTCTCTCAGAGCCTCTCTCAGAATGAGGCCCCAGGGCGGGCGGAGGGTGGAGCTGCCCCCACCGGCCCCGCCCCCTCCCTGCGAGGAAAGAGGAAGAGGGAGAGAGGGGAGGGAGAGAGCTTGAGAGAGGGAGGCAGGCAGGGAGGACTGCTGAGAAAAACAAAAGAGAGACAGAGACTGGGAGAGACAGGGGACAGGCCGGAGAGAGGGATACAGAGAGACTGGGTCTGGAGAGACCGGGATGGAGGGGAGGGCTGTGGGAGCCAGGAACTGGAATGCCGCTCCCAAGCCCCAAGCGGGGTGCTCAGGGGTGAGCTGGGGAGCCTAAGCCACAGGCAGGGATGGAGGAGGGCACTCGTCCTCTCTGGAGACTCCCAGTATCTTCTAACGGTCTCCCAAACATCCCCCAAATCTCTCTTCCTCTCCCTAGTGATCTCTCGGGTTGAAGGCTGGCCTGAGCAGCCACCCGTGGCTGGTGAAATCCCAGAGCAGCTGGGGGGAAGGCTCCAGGGGGTTATTTTTGACAGAGACACACTCAGACTTCAGCCTGTAAACACTGATTGGAAGGAGGGGGACACTCCAGGTTCCCTGCCCCCAACCCAGCTTAGTTCCAAATGCTAACTACCTTTGCAGGAAGCCCCCTTTCCCCCACCCACCCATCATCACCACCACCACCACCACCACCACCACCGGAGGCACGTGGGTGCAAGGGAAAGGGGCTCTGTTAGAGCTCAGGAAGGCAAACTTGCCCATCTGAGGGTCCCCAGAAGGGGTCTAGTCTGCTGCTGAATCCTCCCCCAAACCCTAGGAAAAAATGGTATATGGTTACCAGGGTAGCAACCTGTTCTCCAATGCAAGGGGGGAAGCCCAAGAGAGGGGGCTTTTCTAAAACTTGGATAGTGGTCCAGGCCCTACTACCTGGACAGAAACACACACACACACACACACACACACACACACACACACACACACACAGTCTCTCTCTTTCTCTCTCTCTCTTTCTCTCTCTCTCACATGGGAAGTGGGGGGCAGTAAGGACTTCCTTCTTCTTTGCAATTTGAGTCTCAGCTTTGTATTCCCACCCCCCCCCAACCAGATTCACACACAGCCCCACAACAGGATGGCATACATACCAGCTGACTGTGCAATAATACTATTGCATCTGGCTCTGTGAACATCCTCCACACACAATTAACACAGCTCACTCTCACACAAATCCGTACCTGATACACACTTCAACCTGTGATATACCTCAAACCTCAAATAAACCCAAACCCAGGACACACACACATACACAGTGGGACCTGTGACGCACATGCCCCAAGCCCCAAGACACACCCCAAAACTGCATTATACCTCCTAAACCTTTGACAGACTGCTACACACATACCCTGACCATTTGTTACCCAGGGACTAACCCCACCCCCCTCTGAAATCTGCACACCATTCTCCATCATGGCCTGGCCATATGATATATCCTGGCTTTCATAAACCTATCGAAATCTATACTCTTCAGCCAGAATGCCTACCATCATACTGCCTACCACCAGGACTTGAGATACTTGTCCTGACTCCCAAATTTACAGCCCAACTCTGGGATAACTACATTCCTCCCCCACTGACAGGACAATTCCTGTCATTTGTTTTGTGCCTTTAAACTTTCCAAAGCACATTCACAGGCAGTACCTCAAGAGATCCTAATAGCATCCAGGGCCTATTATCCGAACTTGCACAGATTAGTGAGACAGGAGGGCCTGAGGCTGGAACCCTGGTTCTAACCCCACTCACACAAGCCCAGCCCTGGGGCACTGCAGCCATTCCTACTGCCTGCCCCCTCCAAGGAATGGTCACTCCAGGCCCCAAATGACTATCTACTTGGGGAGGGGAGATGGTTGTGTGCTCTGGCTTCAGCATCCAGTTCAGAACTCAGAACCCTCACCCAGTCTGTCTCCTCAAATTTCAGGGAGAAGGGCCCCTAAATACCAAGATGTATCCAGACCCTGGCATATCATTCAAAACGGGCCCTCTCCTAGTTCCCCTTCTCCAGCAAGTCCTCTCTCAGTTCGGACTTAATTCTCCCACTTGCACAGGGGCAGATGAGGTCCAACTAAAGAGAGCAACTCAGAGTTAGAAGGCTCTAAAATTGGTGGGAGGTGGGGTGGGGAGAAAGCAGGGAGCAGCAAAGACTGACAAAGGTGATGAGGGAGGGAAGAGCAAGAGCACCCCTGCTGGAGGTGGGAATTCTGAAGGGGAGCAGCCCGCCCCAGCCCACAGGATAAGGTACCAGCACTGCCCCCTGCCCGGGCCCCTGGGGCTCCCTGACCCAGGCCTCCAGTGTGCCTGCCCCCCTTCCTTTGTCTGTGCCCGGCCTCCCGTTGGCCTGGCGCTCTGCCATCCTCCTCTCCTGGCTCCCAGCCGCCACCACTGCTGCCTCCTCCCCTCCCCCTACTCCTCCCTACCTTAACCCTTCTGAGTCACATGCTGCCCCAGACAGGCCCTGGCCCCCTCAGCAACCTGCCCTGCCCAGGATGATGTCCCTTAGCAGAGGTCCTCCCTGCTCCTGACCAAAGCCCCAGAAGCTACTACACACCCCAGGAGCACTATGAGAGCTAGATGTGTGTATGTGTGTATCTTGTAGTGTTTCCTTCTGCATGTGCATGTGTGTGGGTCTGCGTGTGCTCTGGCTTCCCTCAGTCACATGTGTGGGGCATGTGCTGTCTCTGCCGGGCTGGGGGAGGAGGAGCCGGGAGACAGCAGAGCACAAAGGAGAGACTCAGGCAGGCAGGCAGGCAGGCGGCAGGCAGGCAGCCTGCCAGGGCGCCTGGGCCCCCACCCCAGGGCTGCTCAGGTTGCGGGGGGTGGTCTTTAGGCCTGCACTGGACATGCTGCCACGGGGTCCCTGTGTTCAGCCATGTGCTCACACACACCCATGCAAGCGTGGTGCCCTCCCTTACCCCGAATCCTACCATTTCTAACCCCCAGGCCACTCTCATGCCCCTCCCCAAGTGGTTCTCTTGAAGACTAACCTCCATCCATCCTCTGTGGCACCAATCCATAAGACTTCCTCACATTCAGGAAAAAGATTCCCCACTCTCGGCCATCTTAGGCCTCCTCTTCCCCAACCAGATCACCAGACACACAAAAGGAACATACCTTTTAGGGCACTGCCTTAAGTTGTCCCCCCTCACACATACAGGTCCTCTTCTGTACCCATGCTGCTCCCTGAGAGACTGAGAGGGAAACTTTCTCCCTTCTCCTACAGGACCAGGCACCCTACCTCAACTTCAAGATCAACCTCCCATCTACCTCCAGCCTGACAACCTTTCCATACTCACCTCCTGCTCGCTATTTGTAGGCACTAATAATCATATTTAAGACTCAGCCCTTTAGCTATGCTTATGTAGGGTGATGGAGGATCAAGGCCATGGGATGGACTCAGAGAATGGATGGATCTGAACAGGGTACTCAGCATGGGGCAATTGTAAAGAAAATACACAAACACACACACCAAGCTGGTAGGAGGAGGAATGATGGGGCCAGGAAGGATTCCAGCTTGGCAGGCTCTTCCCTCTCCTCCTCTCCCCGACCCTCTGCAGCAGGAGCCAGGGGTTCCCACACCTGGATATCCCAGGATTCTTAGGCTCTACTAGCCCTCCCTCTGGGCCCCATGCCCCTTAAACGTCAGCCTCAGCAGGCACTTTAATGTGTGCCCAGCCCAGCAGAGCTTTGGCCCGGGTCACATGATTTTCAAGGAAGCTTCCGCACTGGCAGCTTCCCTTGGGGATGTGTGTTGGGGGGAGGGGGGTTTCCAGTTGTGAGGTATGGACCTCCCAGAGAACAGGGCATTTGGAGGGGCTAAGGATCCAAACCAGGCTAGATTCAGGAATACCTGACTTTCCAGAGAAAGCTAACTCCTGCCTGGGACAGAAGGGGGTCCTGCAGATAATTCAAGAACCCAGAGTCCTGGGGATGGATATAAACCGTGTTCTGAGGCCCTCTGAAGACCACCTCTCCAGTCACACGGCCCATCTCCTTCTCCCTGGCAGCAGGAAAGAACTCAGACCCAGGCCTTCCTCCTCCCTAGGAAAGAACTCAGACCCAGGCTGTCTGTCACTGGCAAGAGCTGATGTGTTTGGGGGGAGGCAGGTATCTGAACCTAAGTCCTCTCATTGGGGTCAAGCATCGCTCCCCTCAATTCAATTCTCACAAGTCACTCTTATTTCCTAGCTTGCCTGGGGCTGCCACATTCCCCCTCCCACTAGGGCGAAGATGCCAGACCCAAGGGCCCAATTATCTGCCCCCCACACCCCAGGAGGACCTCGTGTCCCTCAGGAGGGCAAACCTTCCCTGGCAACAGGCAGGATAATTTGGAGGGGGGCAAGACGGCCCCCAATCAATCCCTCCCCCCAAACAGGGTCCTCAGAAACAGCCTGGAGGGAGGTGTCACAGAATAGGTAAGAGGGAATAGGCAGCAGGGAAGGGGGGGGCAACCCAAACCAGCCAATCACAACTGTATGATGACCTGAGGGGGGGGGTCAAAAGTCCAGACTCACTTCTGATTGGCTAACACCCTGGAATTCTGGGAATTTCAGCCCCCCCAAAACCCCTCCCTAAGTAGCCTCCTCCACCAAAAAACACACACAAGCTAACCCCAGCGCCCCTTACCCGTGCCTCTGGGCTGCTGCGCATTTACACAGTTGGGGAAAACCTTCCCCCGACTGAGGCCCCACACACCCCTGAAGCCTCCGACCACAGCCATGCCATCGACGCCCCACACACAAGTTCTCACCAAACAAGGGGTGAAGGATCGGCAGGGAGGGTTCGGGGAGGGGCCGGGCGGCAGCGCGCCCCACTCACCAGGACAGGCACAGCCCACTGACATCTTCACATCGCCCGCCGCTGGGGGCCCAGCCAAGTCACGGTGCCCGCCCCGCGCGGGGACAGGCCGGGCATGAGCCGCCGCCGCCGCCCGCGGCCCCCGCTGTCCTCGCCGCCGGCCCGGCCCGGCCTCGGCCCGGTGCGGGCGGCCCCTGGCTGCAGTGAGGGGCCTGTCAGGCGCGGAGCAGACAGGAAGGAAGCCAGGCAGGAAGGCGAGCTGTCTCTGCGTGTGTGCGCGCGGGTGTGCGTCCCCGGAGTGTGTGTCTGTGTGTGCGCGTGTGCGTGTGCGTGTCTGTGCGCTCCCGCCGCCCTCCCCGCCGCCAACGCCGCCGCCGCTGCCGCTCGCCCCCTCTAGCTCTCGCGCTCCCTCTCGCTCTCGCTCTCGCTCTCGCTCTCGCTCTCCCTCTCGCTCTCCCTCTCGTAGGCGCCCGCTCACCAGCCCTAGTCGGGCTGGGCCGGGCTTTATTAATATGCTAATTGCCTGCTAGTGGGCGGGGAGAGCAGTGTCAAAGTGACCCGGGCGAGGGCGCAGCGGGCGGCGACTTGCGTGCGCCGCGCGGCGGCGGACGGCGAGGGGCCGGCAGCGCTCCGAGTTCGGCGTGCTTGTGACGCAGCTTTTAAAAAAGGAGACCGAGGCAGAGACCCGGGAGAGGGCGGGCGAGGGGAAGGGAGAGGAAGCGAAGCCTCACGCTGGGTGTCCGTCCTCCGGGCGCCGCTGGGTTGGGAGCTTAGAGGAGCCGAAGCGGGAGCCGGGACTGGGGGAGGCGGGGCCGGGGTGGGCTTTGAGATGTAGCTCTCTCTCCACCCCCGGCCGCGCTCTGGGAGGGAAACGCGACTGCCGACCCCCCGCCCATGCTCTCTGCTGAAACCCCAATCTTAATCTGGAGGCCCCTGGTTATGCGCTTCCACCCCAACGTGGGTGGGGAAAGCAGCACTATCTTAATTCTAGTAGCAACCCCTGAATTCACCTCCCCCCTAAATTAATTACCCCTCCCTTGCCTGCTAAACCAGTTGGGACTGGCCCTAAAAGGGTTAATTAGGTGAGGTCCCGGCGCTCCCTCGCCTAATTGCCTGCGATCTGTGTTTTGCTGGGAGAAGGGCGGGCAGCGAAATGACCGCCAGGTTGGTCTGGGGAGGGAGAATCCGTAGGCTGTCCTTTACCCTTGCAGACTCTGACTCATCAGTCAAGATGCTCACCTCCCTTCCCCCTTTCTCCATCCAGTTTCAGCCTCCCTCCCCCCGCTCCCCCCACCCCCAATCGCCTGGAAGCTGCTTTCCTTTGAGGGCCTCCGAGACTGGGAAGAACAGGAAGCAAACCCCTCCAGTGCCCCCTACCCGCAGGGGCTGTGGCCTCAGTTGGAGGGGGTGGGGTGGAAGGGAGGATGATGTGGATGGTCAACGTAAGGAACACTCCTTCCCCAGGGAGGAGCTTCCCAACCTTCAGGCGCTCCTCAAGGATTCCCTAACCCAGCCGGGGTGGGGGGCAACATCTCCATCTCCATCCCTTCCCAAAAGCCCAGCCTTAGCTGCCTCATAAACAGGAAATACCTATTAGCTGGGAGGAGGGAGGGGAGGGGAAAAGTCTGGAAGAGAGAGTTGGACCGCTCCCTTCTGGGGGGTCCCCAGCTGCTAGCTTCTCTTCTTTAAGCTTCAGGGTGGGCTACAGGAGTAGATGCTGGGGACCTGGCCTGGTGTCCCCTTCCTAGGGCGTCTGCCCCAGTCTGGGTGAAGGGTCCTCCTTCCCTTTGTTACTTAGGTGGGGATTGATTGTGAAGGTTCCCTCACCCCTGCCCAGAGTCTGCACAGCTGGCTTGACTGGCTGAGGGAGGGTTATAGATGTGGAAGCTTAAGTGTTTATGAGACCCCTTAAGCTTTTGCTGAGGGAGCAAGAAACGAAGGGCAGATGCAGAGTCTGGGAGTTGAAAAGAGGGCCTGCCCAGGGATGGGCATCCCCTCCCTTATGCTCAGGAGAGGGTGGGGGAAGGGAACTGTAAGCATAGCCTCTCACTAACTCCAGCATTCCGTCCACATTGTGGATTCCCCCACCCCTAGCTTTCCCTACCTCCACCCTCTGAGGGGCAAGGGGGGGCGAGATAGAAGCCTGCAGAGGGATGTGACTGAAGCCATCCACACTTACACAGTTATTTCCTTGGCAGCATCTCCTGCCTGTGTCCACCTCCTCCCCACATTCCGCAGGGCAGAGGTCAGCACTACAGGGAGTAAAGGGAACCTAAAGCAATGGAAACTTAGCCTGGAATTTTGGAAACCTCAGTTTGAATTCCAGCTTTGCCCCTCACTAGCAAATTACCTGGGACAACTGACTTCCCCATTCTGAACTCTAGCTTTACCCTCTGTAATTGGTACCTGCAGCTTGATGAAAGTCAAACGAGACAATGTATGCCCAGTCGCCTAGCCCAATGCCAGCCATGTAGTCAGTACTCAATATACATTAGCTCCTTTCTGCTTTCTTTGAGGTTATCGGTTATTTCAAAAGTTTCAGGGGCTTCCCTGGTGGTGCAGTGGTTGAGAGTCTGCCTGCTGATGCAGGGGACACGGGTTCGTGCCCCGGTCCGGGAAGATCCCACACGCCGCGGAGCGGCTGGGCCCGGAGCCTGTGCTCCGCAATGGGAGAGGCCATGAACAGTGAGAGGCCCGCGTACAGCAAAAAAAAAAAAAAATTTCAGGAGTGGGCTGAATTGGCTGGACCCCTTTCACTCTCTACTGTGTACGAATTTGCCTTCCCCCAATCCTGTAACCACTCACCCCTAAGGCCACTCATTCCAAATAACTAGCTTGGCCAGATTCCACGGTGATCACCAATCACTTGAGTGGACAAAGGGGCTTATAACCCACCCTATAGGGGACTTTGCCTCCTCTCAATCTAAGGCTCCCTTCTCCTAGATTACACATGTGGAAGGTGGAAGGCTGGGAAGAAGAAAAACAGCATTTGTTGAGTATATACTATGTGCCCAGTACTGCGCAAGGTGTTTCACACCTGAGATCTCATTTACTTTTAATAATGACCTTTGGAAGAAGGTGCTGTTACCTCCATTAAACAAACAAGAAAACAGATTCAGGAAGGCTAATAAATTCAAACTTTCTGTAAAACATTCTTCTCTGTCTTCTTTGCCTACTAACTAGTTAATGCCTTTTAAACCTCAGTTACACCTTCACCTCCTCTGGGGAGGTACTCCTCTCACTCCCACCCCAGCTGATCTATTGGTCCTGTTTCCTTTAAGGAAATATTATCTCAGTACTGTTGAATGGGTGATTAAGTTAAGTCGATTCACCTCCCTGAACTTGCCCAAGGTCACACAGCTAACAAGTACTTGACCCAGTGCTCTTCTCTGCCTTATTTCTAGTTTGGACTAGGCCTGGGGAAGAAGAGGAAACCATCATTGGAGCAGCTCTGGAAACTGTGCTGCAGGCAAAAATGGGAGAAGTCACAGATGCCTGGCAGATAGCCCTGGGGTGTGGTAGGAAGGCAATGAGTCTATGTGGAAGGTCTTTAATGACAAGGTCCTGGAGGGTGGCAGGCTTAGCTGATGTGGATGGATAGATTTGAGCACCCAGTATTTTCTTTTTTTATGGCTGCGTTGGGTCTTCGTTGCTGTGCGCAGAGTTTCTCCAGTTGCGGCAAGCGGGCGCTACTCTTCGTTGAGGTGAGCAGGCTTCTCATTGCGGTGGCTTCTAGCTGCAGAGCACGGGCTCCAGCATTGTGGGTTTCAGTAGTTGCAGCATGCAGGCTTAGTAGCTGTGGCTCACAGGCTCTAGAGCGCAGGCTCAGTAGCTGTTGCGCATGGGCTTAGTTGCTCCGCAGCATGTGGGATCTTCCCGGACCAGGGCTCGAACCCGTGTCCCCTGGCATTGGCAGGCGGATTCTTAACCACTGCACCACCAGGGAAGTCCAATATTTTCTTTTTTGAGGTGAAATCACATGACATAAATTAACCATTTTAAAGTGAATAATTCAGGGACTTCCCTGGGGGACCAGTGGTTAAGACTCTGCACTTCCACTGCAGGGGGCGTGGGTTCAGTCCCTGGCCAGGGAACTAAGGTCCTGCATGCCATGTGACGTGGCAAAAAAAAAAGTGAATAATTCAGGGGCATTCCAATATTTTTAAATACAGTCATTAGTGCAAGATGGACTCTAGACATGGGGATGAAGCAAAATGGGAAGTGAGAAGAGGTGAGGTGGTAAGGAAAGGAGAAGGGAAGAGGAGCCCCACAGAGAGGCAGACAGCAGAAGCAATGAGCTAGACTGCTTTAGGACAGGTGGGTTCCCTGCTTCTTCCAGCTCCTAGAACCTGTCCCATCCAACTTCTTCTCCTGACCTTGACCTTGGCCTTCTCTATTTTCTCCCACATTTCTCTTAGCCCTGAAACTCCCTCAAATACTCATTGGTATTGCTCTTTCTTTCAAGGACGAATCTTCTTTTTCCATCAAGATGGCAAATATGTCTTACTGATGGCTCTGTCCCCAGCACCTAAGAAGGTGCCTAGAACCTGATATGTGTCCTATAACACTTACTAAATGATTATAAGAATTCTGATAGGATTTATCTCTCCCTGCTCCAACAAGTGACTCCTTCCCTTCTTGTCCATTTACCATCACCATCACCATCACCATTTACCATTACCAGCCCTCTCTCTGTCAAATCAGTTTGGCAGATTTGGCCAAATAAATATGTAGAAGGCCCCATCCTTGTGTGGAGGAAACATTACGTCTGGAGGAAAGGGATCTAGGAATCTGCATTTTAAAGAAGTGCCTCAGTTGGTTCTTACCCATGCCAATATTTGGGAATAGTTCCTTCTAAAAGGGTCCATGCCCCTTCAGAGCATGCCACCAAATGGGATGAAACCTATTCATTCATTCCATAAGCAACTGCTTAGTACAGTGGGGGATACACTACTAAGAACAGAGGAACCAAAGAAAACAGTCTACTCTATTCACTGT